GATCGCACCGTACTGTTAGGTGCATAAGTGCAAAATGTGTGGTTTGGACCTCAAGCCCAAAGGAGGACTTTAAAAGACTAATCTTCTGTTTCAATCCAGAATTATTTTGAGTGCCCTTTATAGGTCTTGAAGGCCGTCAGCAGAGTACACCAGACAAAGTTAATACACTGCACTTGAAATAAGGTTCTTCCGTCACAGCAGAACATGACAGAACGTGCCCGGAGATGTAAACTGAGCGAGGATGATTCTGGAATTTAGCTGAAATTGTTTGAATAGTTGTCGTGTAACTCAAAAATCTCCCCAAAGCCTCACTACTGGTTAATTAACAGCAATTCCGATGAATATTGAAGAGAGGAATGCGTAACGTGGTGCAGGAGCAGACGGGTGGCCTGTTTATCTGCACTGTGGCAGTGATGTATGTTTAATTTGTTTTGGTAAGTGTGGACCTCTGCTTGGTTAACAGAACCTCTTTGAGAGATGGGGCAGTGAGAAAATCAGAATCACAGAATGGTTTGGGTTGGAAGGGACCTCAAAGACCATCTCGTTCCAACCCCCCTGCCATGGGCAGGGACAAAAGACTGGTTTAAAGATGCTCTGATGTGCCACGTGTCGCGTTCTGCTCAGAGGCAAGCAAGTGGCGGTGGGGTTGGTCCCAGCCTTTCCACCAAACTGGTCTGACGTTGCACCGAGCACCCGGTGCAGCTCCTGCATGGAGCTCTGGGCTTGTCTCCCTCAACTTGCCTTGGTAGATGCCCGCTGTAGCTTGCATTTGGCTCGGTCAGTTTAGCCATCATGTCTGGATGCTTCTGCAGTGGAAGTGGAGGGTTTAAAATGGGAAATGATAAAGTCAGAAGTCTCTTAGTGATACTTTTCTTGTAGACTCGTAGATAGTCTTGGCGAAGTGTAACTTCCAATAGCTTCTTCTAAGTTAATTCACTGCAGCACTTGTGTTGAAATAATATCTCTGCATCTTTGAAGATGAGAACGTTTCAGATGAGGTGAATCTGTTTGTAAGAAGTGAAGCATTTTGTTTGCTTTAGAAACCGAAATGGTTATAGTAGTTGCACCAAGAAGAGAAGTGTTGGCTTACAAATACTCAGTTAAGTAATATTTCATAAATAGATCTTGGGTTGCATTTTGGAACTTGCCGGTGCGATTACAAAAAGAACATGCATTTAATCTGTGGAAATTTTTTCCTAGCAAAGTGTGCTGAAATTAGAGTGTGGTGTAGGAAGTTGTAGTCCCTGGAGGAGCGTTCCCGTAGCCCTCCCTGCATGAGGGGGTACTGTGTCCCAGACACTGCTGCTCTGGAGCAGTTGTTTCCTGCTTTATGTGTGTGTCTTCATGTCTGTTCTAGTAGCCAAACTTCATTGAGATTTCATTCTTTCTACCCAGTTACCTCTTGGCCGAAGTAGTTCATCTTCAGGGTTGCAAGAAGCTGTTAAGGATGGAAGCCTTTGGGCCACAACAACCCCCTGCAGTGTTACAGGCTTGGGGAAGTGTGGCTGGAAAGCTGCACAGCAGAGAAGGATCTGGGGGTGCTGGTCGACAGCCGAGTGAACATGAGCCAGCAGTGTGTCCAAGCAGCCAAGAAAGCCAACGGAATGCTGGCATGGATCAGAAACAGTGTGGCCAGCAGGAGCAGGGAAGCAATTGTCCCCCAGTACTCAGCACTGGTGAGGCCACACCTGGAGTACTGTGTCCAGTTTTGGGCCCCTCACTTCAAGAAGGACGTTGAGGTGCTGGAGCAGGTTCAGAGAAGGGCAATGAAACTAGTCAAGGGTTTAAAGAACTTGTCCTGTGAGGAGCAGCTGAGGGAGCTGGGACTGGTCGTGGCATTTTGCTGAGGCGTTTGGAGATAAGACAATCACCTGAAAGGAAGCTGTAGGGAGATGGGGGTCGGTCTCTTCTCCCACGTTATGAATGACAGGACGAGAGGGAATGGCCTCAAGTTACAACAGGGGAAATTTAGGTTGGATATCAGGAAGAATTTCTTTCCAGAGAGGGTTGTGAAGTATTGGAACAGGCTGCCCAGGGAGGTGGTGGAGTCCCCATCCCTGGAGGTGTTTAAAAACCGTGTGGCTTTGGTGTTGAGGAACATGGTTTAGGGACCCTGACAGTGCAGGGTGAGTAGTTGGACTCAATGATCTTGAAGGTCTCTTCCAACCAGACGATTCTATGACTCTATGAAGCACTTTCCCTGCTCTGCTACGCTGTGGGATAATGCCCACTGCCGCTCTGGAGTCAGCCTCGTGCTGGAGCTGCTGATCTGCTTAGAGACCAAAGGGGGTACAATTCCTGACGAAACCATCCCGTGTGTAAGCGCTGGCCAAGCAGAGTTGCGAGGCTCTCTTGTCTACAATGTAGGTGACGCTTAATTTTTGAGGAGGAGAAACGAGCTGCACCTATTTTTAGGAAACCTGATTCCCAATGTGGCATTTAATCTGTCGATACAAATATAGTTTTGGAACTGTGGCGGGGAACTCAAGTGGATGCAGTGATTGATGTTTTCCTGAGGTGGCATCATCAGGGTCATGGAAAGTTCCAGAGTGGGTGTTTGTTGCCTGTTCCCTCCCCACTGCTGCTCCTCCTCCTTCTCTCCCCTCCCTGAAAAAGCCTGGTATAAAGAGCCCACCCACAGGCACAATCCCAACAAAGCTGCCCCAGTCTGCACTGGTGCTGCAGAACCTGACCAGAACTTAACAGATTCTGTTCACAGGGGAGCAAAGAGACTTTTCATCGAAGAAAGTCACCATCGAAATAGTCATTTCTGACTTTATCATTTTTTTGGAAGTACCGAAGGCTGGAGACATGCCCAGTCATTTCAGACGTATCCTTAATTCATCTTCAGTCCATTTTAGGCATTCAGTAGAAGAAGGATATAAGTAGATGAGCACAGGAAAAGGTAGGAGGCGTGTGGATTGGTTTCTTCTTTAAAATTCAGTCGTTTTTGTTGTGTTCCTTCAGAGTTACCTACTTGTGTAAGAAGCGATAATGATCTAGATGTAGAAGTGCTGAAGGTTCGAGTTGGTAAGGAATTGTCTAAAAATGGGATTCAGCTGTTCTGACCTTTTCTCTAAGCCCTAATTCAGCCAGTTTCTTGTCTCCGTGGGTGTAAAAATGGATGTGGTGGCCCTCTCGCTAGGCACGAGAATGTATTGGTGTCAGTATGGAATTTTTTCCGGCTGTTTTATTTTTGTGAAGAAAAAACTGTTTGTTTGGGTCAGGAACTTCTACTTTAAGAGACTTAAAATTCATCCGAAATACATGGTACTACTATCTATTGTCCGTCTTTGAGAACTTCTCCTTTCTTGCAGGTTATCATGCATGATTATCACAGAAGAAATTCATGTCTATAGCTCTTAAGGACTTCATTACATCACCTTCAAGCCTGATAGTTTTGGAATCACTCTGCTTTTGCATTTCAACAAACATCTTCCCTACCAGAAGATACCGAAACTGAGGTGCTCCGGTTTACCACAGTGATACCATTGGATTATTTCGAGATCTCCCAGTTAACAATTTACAGTAAGATATTTGCTAGGTAAGTTGATAGCGTTAGCTGCGTATACAGTGGTTGATATTCCTCCTGAAATCCCATGACTTTAAAACCTTGCTGCCCTTTTCTTTTTTTTTTTTCTTCAGTAAAGCACAACAAATACAAATTGATAATCATCAATATACAAATTGATAATCATCTCCGAAACTGAGATTATTGTTGCCAGTTTAGGGTCAAATGCTTTCAGCAGTAAGTGAATTCCAACAGATTAACACTACAATTCTTTTGTGTGGGGCTCGCTACTTCTATTAGGTTTCTGCCATCCACTTCTTCTATTTTGGGGGGTTTTCTTGTTTAGTCTGATCTTCAGAATTTTCTTAAAACTTCAGATGGAACTGTAAATTGTTGCTGGTAACATTATTAGCATCCTCCGTATTATTTCCTCTGAAATTGTTGAGGAAAGTATACTTTTGCATATGTTAGCAGCTCACACTTACAAATGTGATTGATTATTTTTTTAAAAAATTATTATTTCAAATTCATTAGGCTGCCTCTGGGTCATATTTTAGTATTATTAATTAGCTTCCTATTTATAAAGTGGTCTTTTCCTAAAAGTGTTTAGCTAAAAGAATCAATTCAATGACTGTAAAATAGCCTCCGAATTCAAAAGTTAGTTTCCTGAAGTTATTTTTCCAGTCTTGGTCCAATTTACCTGCAGTGATATGTTTGTATATGGGCAAGATCTTCAGGGGAAGTTGTTCTAGCTTCACGATGACTTAAAAAAACTGGTCATTGTCCAGAACATTTTTAATTCTGTCTGTTTTTTTGGTGCTAATGTTGTTTCTTGACTTCCAGCTACTCTAAAATGTTTTAAGTCATTACTCATTAAACTAAACAAAAAAAATATTTATATAGCTATTCTTCTACTTCACTAGTTACTTGAAATTAGCAGTTCTTGTTTTTCAGTGTAGCTGGGTTTGGGTCTGCGCAAAAAATGAAGCTGAACAGTGAAGAAAATAGTGATGAATCTCCCAAACCTGATCTTTATAGAGGGGAATAAAGCTTCTTTTTAATCCAGTGGCTTCCACCTTGCTCTGATGGAGCTAGCACAGGTTCAGCATGTAGTTTTGGAGCTGATATCTACTGAAGTGATGTGGATAAGTTAAAAGTTGTGGCCTCACTCTCTCAAAATCATTAATCCGGTCAATCCAGTGGATTGTTGTCCACGTGTACTCACCAGCAGTAGCACTGTTGTAGGCTTTTTTTTTTGAGATGATTTTTTAAAAAAATTCCCCATGAATGTTAGTTTGCAAACAATGCGTTAATAGTACTTCTGCAGCAGTAGCACTGTTGTAGGCTTTTTTTTTTCAGATGATTTTTTTAAAAAAATTCCCCATGAAGGTTAGTTTGCAAACAATGCATTAATAGTACTTCTATACTGAAGCAAAATGTTGGATCTCTAAACTTTATACCTTCTGTTTTCAGCCAGACCAACACCAAAATGATTCCTAATGGATATTTGATGTTTGAAGACGAAAACTTCATTGAGTCATCTGTTGCCAAACTAAATGCCTTACGTAAAAGCGGTCAGTTCTGCGACGTCCGTCTCCAGGTACCTTTCTTCTGTCCCAGCATGGTGGTTGAATGCAGTGGGTGTTTTGTTGCGCTGTGTGATGCTCATAGATTGTGAAGCATGAGGTTTTTAGAATCTGATTTTTCTGAAAAAAATGCAGATGTTTAAAATAATAAAAAAATCAGATATACTTGGAGAGAAGTGATGCTGACGCTTTTTCAGCTGATGTAAATTGGAGACTGTATTGAGTTGAAAAATTGAACTGTGACATTCACTTGGGTGGGCCTTTATGTACTTGAAAAACATTTTTACCAGCATGTGGGTTTCTTACTTGTGTTTTCCATAAAGGTATGCGGACACGAGATGTTGGCACACCGAGCCGTGCTGGCTTGCTGCAGCCCCTACCTGTTTGAAATCTTCAATAGTGATAGTGATTCTCATGGAATTTCCCATGTTAAATTCGATGATCTCAATCCAGAAGCTGTTGAAGTTCTGTTGAATTATGCCTATACTGCTCAGTAAGTAGTTTCCATGGAAACTAGCGAGAGGAGATTTTAATTTTGAAGAATCCGAATAGCGCAGATAAATTTCTTTCTTTAATAGGTTAAAGGCTGATAAAGAACTGGTGAAAGATGTATACTCTGCAGCGAAGAAGTTGAAGATGGAAAGAGTTAAGCAGGTACAGTTCTCGGCTGTGTTGGGGGTGTAATGAAACCTGAGCATCTGTGGGAGTGCCAAGTGAAAAAAGCATCATCCACAGACTCCTGACAGAGCTTGGCTTAATGTTGCCTTCCGTAGGAATACACATATATTTCATTTACAGCCCTATGATGGGGGGATGACAAGAGACAGTCGCTGTTCTGCAGCTAGATATGTTGGGATGGACGATTTGAACATAGAAAAATCTCATCTACTTGTAAACTAAGATGCAGCCTTTTTTTTCTTGAAAGGTTTGTGGTGACTATTTGCTCTCCAAGATGGATGTTCAGAGCTGCATCTCGTACCGAAACTTTGCAAGTTGTATGGGAGACTTGCGTTTGTTGAACAAGATCGATGGCTACATTCAGGAACATCTTTTGCAGATTTCAGAACAGGAAGAATTTCTCAAACTTCCACGGTTAAAGGTTAGCTTAAGTTTCTAGACTTCCTTGTGCTCTGTGATTTCCAAAAAGCAACCCAAGGAACAACTGTCACAGCTTCCTTTTAGGGAGTAGGAAAACTTTGTTTTCTGACTTTTACCAACAAGAAAATTCTGAATCTGTGTAATATTCATAGAGTGGTTTGGGTTGGAAGAGACCTCAAAGATCATCCAATTTCAACCCCGCTGCCATGGGCAGGGGCACCCTCCACTACACCAGGTTGCTCAAAGCTTCATCCAACCTGGCCTTGAACACTTCCAGGGATGGGGCAGCCACAACTTCTCTGGGCAACCTGTCCCAGTGCCTCACCACCCTCATTGTAAAAAATTTCTTTCTTATATCCAATCTAAATCTCCCCTCTTTTGATTTAAAGCCATTGCCCCTTGTCCTGTCACTACACACCCTTGTCCAAAGCCCCTCTCCGAGTATATTCATAGTACTGTGAACCTTAACTGAGAGAATACACACTCTCCTGCTTTCTGAGCATAAGAGATAACCGCAGTTGTACTTAAACGTGCTCCCTGGTTTCAGTGGCCCAGGTTTGAAAGCTCCTCGTAGATGGTGTTTTCCAGCTTTGTGATAAAGTGAGAGTGATGGTCACTGTGTGAAGTACAGCATGCTACAAGTACCAGGGTAATACCCGTAGAGTAAATCATCCTTTCCTCTTCTAATTCCAGCTTGAAGTAATGCTGGAAGACAATGTTGGCCTACCCAGCAACGGCAAACTGTACACAAAGGTAATCAACTGGGTACAGCGCAGCATCTGGGAGAATGGAGACAGCCTGGAAGATCTAATGGAAGAGGTTAGTCTTTAAGAAAATGGGATTAAACATCTTTTTTAAAACAAACCAAAACAAAAGCCAATATGAAGGATGATCCCTTTTTTCTTTTATATTTTTTTTTTAATTATTTTTTTTTCATTTTTTTAACTATGACCCTAAAGAATTTAAATTTTACTGTAGGTACCCCTAAGCTGAGAAACTGGGGGGGTGTTCAGGTGAGCTGAATGAACTGTTCAGTCTGGTCTTCCGCTTTCCTTTTTTGCTCACTGTGTGCTGTACAGTAACCTCCAAGTGGCATGTATCTTGCTTTAGAACTGGGGAGGTGGTACTGAAACTTGCCGTAGATTCGTGATGTTTCCCTCTGCAGGTTTTGCTTGTAAATGCCAAGTAGGTAAAAGCTTCTAATGGTTGTTCCTCCCCGTTGGTTTATCTCCCCATAGGTTTATTAACAAAACTAGGATTCCAAGGCTGAAGAACCAAGAAGAAACCTCAAGTGTATTGACACGTACAGAAGCAGCAGTCCTGCCCCAGTTCTCCTAAGAAAATCCGCTGTGGGCAGAGAACGATGATGATGATTTAATGGTGTTTACTTACTCCTTTACAGGATACATTATTTTAAAAGTTGTGTGTTATTGAATGGCTTTACTCGTGAATACTAACGCTAGATGTAGCCTGGGCAGTGTTTAATGGAAAAATTAGCGGGGAGTCTAAATTTTTAATTGGCTGGAGAAAATGGACTTTACAAAAACCCGTGAAACGTCAGCATTTTCCCAGTTTGTTACCACAAGCACGATAGATCTTCGGAAACAGTTGTATAGGCAAAAGTACCTGTTGATACTGTCATATATTCTCAAGTGTGTATTTCCTTTTGGAGTAACTCGTTTTAAAAGCGTTGATGGTGTTGAAATTCAGATGCGTTTCACTGAAACGGTTGCATCTGATGTTTAGCTGTGGACAGGAGTTTCCTCCAGAACTTGAATTTGTCTTGTCCTCCCTCATCCCCTTACCTTTCTCTTAGAGTCCACTCCTGGCTCCTCTGAACTTTTTTTGATCGAGATAAATATGTGTATTTTTCAAAGCAGAAAACTTGTTTGCGGGGCTAACGAAAATGCTTGCATGAGATTGTGAATTTGTGTAATTCTGCAAATTAATGTGCCTCTTGCCTGTCTAATGTTTCTGTGCTGGAAAAAAACAGTAGAAGTCCTTGGAAAACGAAGATTTCTCTCAAGCCGAGAAAGTAAAGAACCTCCATCCCATGTTTGAAGATTGCCACCATGACATCTGCTTCCTTTTAGTTTTGTCCTCTGCTAGATTGAGATGAGATGACGAGAAGTATGCTGGCCGCTGCCTTTTGTAACCTGCCTGTAGCTAAGGAGCAATGGCGACAGTAGCCACATGGGTATTCTGTTGTTGTTTTTGCAGGTTCAAACGCTGTACTACTCAGCTGATCACAAGCTGCTTGATGGAAATCTGCTAGATGGACAGGCTGAGGTGTATGGCAGTGATGATGACCACATTCAGTTTGTGCAGGTACAAATTGCAGACAGCCTGAGGTAACCCCAGATGGACTGGAGCCAGTTTACAGCACACCTGAAGTCTGGCGTTGCGCAGCAGGGAGAGCAGCGGGAGCTTTACCGGGGGAATACGTGATGAGGAGGTGTCTGTCGTGGAGGCCACGAGTTAGTCTCTGCTTCTGGTTCCTCGGCAGACTGCCTCGAAGCCTTGGCAAAACAGAGTGCTTTAGGTTTGGCTTCAGAATAAATAAACGAAAGAAGAGGTAGAAAAAGCAGTCAGCTGTGGCTTTGTCGAGATACTCAAGAGACTAAGGAACTGTGGACCGCGTGGCTTGCGGTGGAGAATGGCTGATGCTCCTGTTAAATTTGGGCATGGGAAAAGATTCCAGACCTAAGTTCGAATCCTTTGGCTGCCAGCGTCCGTTTCTTTTGTTCAGCTGCGCAGGTAACGTGCAGCAGAGATTTTTAATAAGCAGCAGGAGGTAACTTTGGATCTAGAGGCAGCCGATGCTTTGACTGTGTACAAATCAGTCTTGTGCTTTTTCAGATTTTGAGATTTTATTTATTTTTTTTTTTTTTTTGGTTCCAGCCAGATACGTAATTATTTTCAATTCCTGAAAAACACACAGCTCAGCACAATGGAGGCTGTGTAAGAAACATAGAATAAAAAAGAGCTAAGAGATGCAAGTTATCAGTTGCTTTATACAAATCAAGGTTGTTTATATTCACTGAGTTAGAAGTTACAAGAAATATTGTAATATTTTAACTCCCAGCAGCGGAATGTGCTGATAGAAAAAGTAGACTTCTTGAAATTTTTAGCTACTTTTTATGTAAAACACTCTCCGTCCCAGGATGTGGACTGTAGAAGTGAAATGAGAGGAAAATGAAAAGCCAGCTAATTTTCTAGTTGTCTTAATCATTTTTAGTAAACCTTCAGACTTCACTACCTCAGGATACTGCTCCATGTAATACTTAAAAGCTGAGAAGCGAATGTTCAAAAAGTTCATTTTTGTATATAAGGCCAAGAGTTCTCAACTTGTTCTTTTTTTAAATCCTTTCTGATAATAAGAATTTCCAACTTCAGAAATTCCAAACAGTTGAAAGAATTAACACCAGCAAACCCATAGATAGCAGTTCTGGAAAAATGGGTGACTTTTAAATTTTTGAACTAGCAGAAGTTTGCAATTTCTGTGACTGTTGAGGCGATTTCAGGATAAGAGAGTAAGCTCTTAATTGGCTGAAGGTTCAGAAATAACAAAAACGCTCTCCACAGATGAGTTGGTTTTCATGGTGAGCCCAGTATAGCGCTCAAACTCCTCTGTGTAAGGTCATCTATGAGTTAGATGATTTATTTTGGAAGCTGTAGGGTAATTTCTGTAGGGATCACGCTCTGGGGAACTGCAGGCATTGCAGACTGGCAATGTGGTCGTAAACTTTGCTGCTGGACAGGACCTGGAGAACGTTAACTTTTTCTGTTTGGTTCTTAGGGTTCAGGAAAAGCCTGAACGACCCAGCCAGCTGTGCGGTGTAGTCTGAAATGTGAAATTCTGGGGGTTTTCTTAATTGAGCAGAATCACGTAAGCTGCAGAATAAATGTAATTGAAGAGGAAACGAAAGCAGAAATCTCCCGTTAGTGAGGAGTATCAAGGGAAGTAAAATCCAAGAAACAGCTAATCTGAGCCGAGAGAGGAACTGAGGCGAAATTAATGTCTTCAGGGAATGAAGAGAATAGTTAATGCACTTCCAAATAGCATTATATAATTAACTCCCGTTCCAGAAGCAGAGCTTGTGAGAGAGGCTTCAGCTTGTAGATCGCTTCCCTCCAAAGGCATGCAGGTTTTTCCATAGATTTGAAAAATCTTGCTGGGAATGCATACTCTCTTCTGGGAATCGGAATGGATTTCTAGTCAGACCCTGGCAGGATGAAGGTGAAGTCACAGGAGGAAGCAAGTGCCAAGAGAAGGCGTAGGGTGGCTTTTGGCCCCTGTTGCTGAGCGGGCGAGACGTTCTGCTGAGAATCGAGGTGTGCTATAAACGATGCTCTGCGCAGGTGGTAGATGAAGCGTTCTCTTGAGTAGTTACTGTCAGCTCAGAGAAGCAAAGGTAGAAGGAGGTGTAGTCTCTGGCTAGGTTTCTGTAGCTGCCTTTTGATTTTGCAGAAGAAGCCCCCACGTGAGAATGATCACAAGCAGATTAGTAGCAGCTCCTCTGGAAGTCTTTCTCCGAACGCTACTGTTCAGAGTCCTAAACACGAGTGGAAAATCATTGCTTCAGAGAAGACATCAAGTGAGTAGCTGGGGCACGGTTTGTCTAAAAGATGCGGCTGGTGGTGTGTACCTGCTGCCTCTCACTCCCTGGGCATTTCCTTCAACATCTGTAAGAAATGCAGAAGTGCTTTTTCTTACTGATGATGCAAATCGAGTAATTGGCCCAGTAATTGGTGGGACGTTTCTGGGGACAAACCAGGTTCACTTCCATCTCAGTTCCTTATCAACGGGGCCATCCCAGATCCCACGGTGTGTGTAATTCACCCAGAAAGCCTGAAGGAGACAAGCACTGTCTGATTAATTAACAGAGCTCCTTGCTGCGTGCGTGCGAGGAGACCTTCTCCTAGCGTGTCTTCAGAGTGCTGTCTTATGTTAATATTGTTTTAATAATCTAAAACTCGTATTTTTCAGTAACTAGCCTAACACTTGGAACCAGCAACCATAAAAACCCTAAAGTTTTCACACTTCAGTAAGGGGAGAAGCATAATCAGAAGCCCCTGGTTAGCATTCACCTAAGATGTCGTTCCATCAGCGGTCTCTCCTTTTCTCCTGGCGACAGGTAACACCTACCTGTGTCTCGCCGTGCTGGACGGCGTGCTGTGCGTGATATTCCTGCACGGCCGGAACAGCCCGCAGAGCTCTCCCACCAGCACCCCGCGCCTGCTGAAGAGTCTGAGTTTCGAGCTGCAGCCGAACGATGTCATAGAGAAGCCCATGTCTCCAATGCAGTACGCCCGCTCCGGCCTGGGCACGGCCGAACTCAACGGCAAGCTCATCGCCGCAGGTGAAAAAAAAATTAGTGATGATTCTTTATCAGCAACGTGGTCTGGGGGGAGACAGCGGCACGGCCACGTGCGCTCTGTTGTAGAGTCAGTGGTGTTGAGCATGGGAGCGGTTCGTGTTTGGGTACGTGGTGGTGGCATCTGACCTTTTTTGTGGTTTAGGTGGCTATAACAGAGAGGAGTGCTTGCGCACAGTGGAGTGCTACGATCCGCAGAAGGACGCTTGGACCTTCGTGGCGCCGATGAGAACGCCGAGGGCTCGGTTCCAGATGGCAGTTTTAATGGTGCGTGGTGGGTGGGGACGAGGTGAAATGGGACCTTGCGTAAACAGAGGGGGGGACAAACACGGCAAACTTTACAAAATTTTTGGCTTAGGGACCATGACAATGCAGGGTGAACAGTTGGACTCAATGATCTTGAGGGTCTCCTCCAACCAGATGATTCTACGATTCTAAAACGGCAACACAAGTTGCTGAACTGTGGTTATTTACTGAAGTGCTTTGACTTGTTGTGTGCTTAGATGTGAAGAGGGTCTTTGTTTTCTTCCGTTTAGGGGCAGCTGTATGTGGTGGGTGGGTCAAACGGTCACTCTGATGACTTGAGCTGTGGAGAAATGTATGAGCCAGAAATAGATGACTGGACTCCTGTTCCCGAACTGAGAACTAATCGCTGCAACGCAGGTAACACGTCTGCAGTTGACCGACTGTTTGGGTTGGTTTTTTGAAATTGAGCCATTTATTAGCTTACTTATTATTCTTTCTTACCTGGTTAGGAGTGTGTGCCCTGAACGGAAAACTGTACATTGTTGGTGGCTCAGATCCTTATGGCCAAAAGGGACTGAAGAACTGTGATGTGTTTGATCCCATAACAAAATCTTGGACGAGCTGTGCTCCCCTTAACATCCGTAAGTTTGTTGTGTAGTTTGGGAAGGCGGGAGGGGGGGAAGGATGATGGCAAAACAGCAGGTTTAAAACAAAACCAAACCAAAAAGCTTTTCAAATTTCGGTGCTGGGATGTAACTCGGGCTCTTTGATTGCAGGGAGACATCAGTCCGCAGTGTGTGAGCTGGGTGGGTATTTGTACATCATCGGAGGAGCGGAATCCTGGAACTGCCTGAACAGCGTGGAGCGTTACAATCCGGAGAACAACACCTGGACCCTGATTGCGCCCATGAACGTGGCTCGACGAGGAGCTGGAGTGGCTGTGCATGACGGTAGGATTCCGCAGGCTTCAGCAACCTCTCGTGCTCGATGAATTTTTCACGTTAAGCTACGAAGCAAGTAGAGCACACAGCCGTGTTCCCTCTCAGGGAGCAAACAATACAGAAAGAACCCTGCTAGGCCTCCAATTTTGATTAAAAACCGTAACAGAAAAGACTTGGTTTTGTCTTAGGCCATTCACCCCCACCTCTTTCTTTCCAAAACATCACCGTGCAGCTTCCAGAACTGCATTTGTTTCAATTTGGACCTTGCACTTGCTTACTCTGAAATAACTTCCAGTTGCTCTAACGATCCGAGGGCTGGAGCACCTCTGCTATGAAGACAGGCTGAGAGAGCTGGGGCTGTTCAGCCTGGAGAAGAGAAGGCTCCGGGGAGACCTTCTAGGAGCCTTCCAGTACCTAAAGAGGCTACAGGAAAGCTGGAGAGAGGGTTTGGACAAGGGGGTGCAGGGACAGGACATGGGGCAATGACTTTAAACTGAAAGAGGGCAGATTTAGATTAGATATAAGGAAGAAATTTTTCCCTCTGAGGGTGGTGAGGCACTGGCACAGGTTGCCCAGAGAAGTTGTAGATGCCCCATCCCTGGAAGTGTTCAAGGCCAGGTTGGATGAGGCTTTGGGCAACCTGGTGTAGTGGAGGGTGTCCCTGCCCCATGGCAGGGGGGTTGGGACTAGATGATCTTTGAGGTCCCTTCCAATCCGAACCATTCTATGATCAGGAGACCCAAAGCAGGTCGATACTGCAACTTCAGGCCTTGCGTAAGGCCAAAGTTTCAGATGGGAACTTCAGGTTTCCCTGAAGTTCCTCCTTTTGCCTTGGTTTGGCTCCCTGGAAAGGAGGCTGGGTTTGGTGACGCGGCCGCTGCTTAGTGGTGGGACATTCACTTTGTTTCCTCTCGACAGGAAAACTCTTCGTTGGTGGAGGCTTCGACGGCTCGCACGCGGTGAGCTGCGTGGAGATGTACGACCCTGCCAAGAACGAGTGGAAGATGATGGGAAGTATGACCACTCCGAGGAGCAACGCCGGCATTACGACGGTGGCAAACAGGATTTATGCAGTCGGGGGATTCGATGGCAATGAATTCTTGAACACGGTGGAAGTCTACAATCCGGAGACGAACGAGTGGAGCCCCTACACCAAAATCTACAAGTTCGAAGTGAATTAAATTCCCTTTCAAACTAACAGGTTTAGTGATGGAATTGTGTTTCGGTAGAGGTACACGGGAGTAGGGTCGGGAGGGCATAGACGTTGCCAACAGCAACACAGAGCTTTTGCATATTGCATATTAACGTGCTGTACATACTTGTTTTGGAGAGAATATCGAGATGAAGGGGGTTTTGTGTATTTTAGAACTTTGTTTTAGGGGTGTGTTGTGTGTTGTTTCTTTTTTTTTTAAAAAAAAAAGATTTTTTTTTCAAAGATAATGCAAAAGAAACTAGACTGGGCATATCATTTCAGGAGCTTCCCCCAGTGTTTATGTTTTGTCACTTTGCACACGAAATGACTTTTCCTGGAGGATGTGTTCTTGGGGCAGGAAGTGTAAGGTTTGTGGGGGATCATTGTTTTTCAGCAGGCCTTGGTTCTTCCTTCAGTAACTGGAACAATCTGTAACAAGAAGCCTTATTTAAATAGATATAATGGCTATTTTTTTTTATTAAAAAAAGCTGACACGCCTGCCGATACCTTATCTTTTATGATTGCCTTTTTATAACAGTTTTTATATACTCAGCAGAGTATTTTATCTGTTGAACACGAAAACAGCAGATAAATGGTTAACAAAGCAAAGAGACAACCTTGGAGAGCAGAGAGACTGAGTGGGAGAGCTTGATTTGCCCCTGGACTCCAGCTGCTGAGCTTTTCCAAACTCTGCTACAACGTTGTAACTCAGTAGCAACACCTTCCCTAGAGCCAAGCAGCATTTCTGACCCTCTTGTAGCCGTGACTCTCCAGGACAGGAGAATTCCTTTGGGAGAATTCCTTGGGCTCCCAGTGTTTCGAGGGAGCCGCAGCGGGTGCTTGCTGTAGGGCAGTTTTGTTACTAGGGGTGAGCTACCATTTGTAAAACAAAAACTGAAGCGTGGGGGGTTTTTCTCATGGTTTTTAACCTCTTGCCAGCTGGCAAGGCAAACAACTCATCTGATTAGTAACTGCCTTCAGTTTATTTTTCTAATATTAATTACAAGGGGTGATAGAACACAAATAACGGGGTTGCGTTTGTGCTCGTAGTACCGTGGTTTAGTTCACTTCCTCGACGGATAAAGCGCCGGTGAGGATGACTCGGTGTCCGACGTGTAGCGCTGCACATCTAACTCCCGGTGCCAAAGCCAGCACTGCCCGCTTGCTGCTGCTGCTGCAAACAATTAAAGGTACCTTTGGGCAAACCCTGGCACCACGGCACTGCTGTGACGCGTCTCCGTGTCCTTTTCTTTGCAAACGGGCAGCCTGCGATGTCAGAGCAGAGGTTTCAAACAACGTAGGGTGTTCAACTGCCCCTGCTCTGGCTCAGGTTTGGGCTGAAGAGCAGAGAGGGGGCAAAGCTGCACCTGCACCTGCTCCTGCCTGCACCCTGCAATGGGAGTGTTACCCTCCAGGATTAGGTGTCCAAGGCTCGGAGCATGTGGCCAGCACCCGGCTCCTACAGCACTACTGCTGTTGGCTCGGGCAGAGTAACCTACTTACAGGCTACTTAGATATCAGGGAAAATTTCTTTCCAGAGAGGGTTGTGAAGTATTGGAACAGGCTGCCCAGGGAGGTGGTGGAGTCCCCATCCCTGGAGGTGTTTAAAAACCGTGTGGATTTGGTGTTGAGCAACATGGTTTAGGGACCCTGACAGTGCAGGGTGAGTGGTTGGACTTGACCTTGAAGGTTCCAACCAGACAATTCTATGATTCAGGCTGCTCTTGGGATCAGTTTACTAAAAGCTCTGTGCAGCTTAAAGCACGGTGCTCCAGAGGTGAGGTGAGCAAGGGGCCAAGCGAGCTTGAAGAAGAAGAAGGGTGTAAGTAATGCTGCAGTGAAAAGAAACACTTCAGTAGTGTTAGAAGAAACTCCATCTGCTCGTTCAGCTTTAGTCCTTGGCCCTAATCCAGCAGCTTTAGGAAATCGAGCCACCAGCCATGGCACTAATTTCAGCCACCATCACAGCCACTGCTTTGATTCAGGTCTTGCCCAGCTCCTGCCAGGGCTCTGCTGCAGGTTGTTCACCCCACGGCACACGAGGTCCTTCTGCTGAAGCGGGGCATGAGCAGGCTCCTGCGCATCTCCGCCATGGAGCAGGGAAACACCAGACCAAAGAGATGCAGTGACAGTTCCGAGCTGGAACACCGGGTGGGTTTGGGCAGGCCAGTGTGAGGGGAAGTAACAAAATTAGTTTAATCTGTGTCAGCTGATTAAAGTCTCTCTAAAGTAGACATGAGCCATGACAGCCATCGTGTGCTGGAGCCACCCAGCTTCCTGGAGCTGTGATACAAACCGCCAACATCAGCTTCTCTGAGTGTAACATACTTATCCCACAACTGCGGGGTAACTCCTGGAATAAAAATCCTCCTCAAAGGGAATTTTGCTCCGAGGGCCACCCCACCGAGCGCGGCTCCCTGGCTTCCAGGTGCCTGGGGCCAGGGCTGCACTGCACTCGCATCCGCAGTAGTCTGGCAAAGTGAAAACAGAACTAGTCAAAGAATTAACCGCCTTTTACTGTAACAATAAATTAGATTTTTACAATCGAGATTTTTACAAATGCACATCCAAAAGTCAGTATCAAAATAAACGCTTCTAGAACTTTGCCAGTCGTCTCATCTCTGTACAGTCCCACCCGCACAAGAGGTGGCTTCCAAGGCCACAGCAGCGTAGAAAATGGCTTTTAGAAAGTTTTCATGGACTTACAGCCGTTCGGAAAAGCAACAAACGGAGCGTTCTAACAGAGAGTTCACCTGGAGAGCAGGGAGGAGGTGAGTCACTGAGGAAACCCCCCAGAGGGAAAACCCAAAAAAACCACTCCTGCCTTTGCCAGAGGAGACAGCAGAAGAGAGGCCGGGTTTTCCAAAGGAGCATTGCCAGCAGGTCCCGCTGCAGGAGGATGAGGTGGGTGTTTTAACAAAGGAAAAACATCACTTTCCTCCAGGACAAACACACCTGCATGGGGGTCAGGTTTGGTTTTTTCTTTTTAAAAAGAGCATCCATCTCTTTCTTTCCCCATTTATATCCTCTCTTCAGCCACATAGACTGCGCTATATAGGATACGTACCTATATAGGATATGTACGTTGCACCTGCATTTTAGTCCCCCATGTCCGTAGGGGCAGGAAGCATCCCGGGTACCTGACTCCATATTCAGCTGCTTTCCTTTCAAACCCCCCCAGTAGCACTATATATTCTTTTTTCTCTCTGGTCACTTCCCAAGTACCAGCAAAACAAATGCCTTACCTGGATTTTCCTATAGGACCTGGCTCCTAACACAAACGTTTGGAATTTAGACCAGGAGCACATCCCATTTGCTGGTCACCAGCACGGCCCATCTGCTGGTCACTCCAGAGCCCCTCACCTGAGCCACAAAATTCTACCAGCTGCCGCTTCTTGGCCAAAATTCCAACATTTAATGTACATAACGTAACTCGGTGAGGGCTTTTTCCTTCAACTCGAATATAAAACAGCACCATGGAGAAGAAAGGCGGCAGATTTTGGGCTCCTCCAGTATTTCCCCCTCGCATCCCGGGGGAGCTGGACTCTGTCTGGACAAGGCGAGGGCAGGGTGGGCACCTGGGCACCGGTGTCACAGCCAGCCCCTGTTCTTGGCTTCCGCGTGCACCGCGGCGTGACACTGCTTCACGGCGTGCTCCAGCTGCGCCAGCTGGCCGCAGCCCACCTCCAGCCGCTCCCTGCGGAACAGAAGGCACAGGTCAGCAGGACACGACGGGCCTATTGACACAGAGGGATCTTTCGGTGTATTCCTTGAAAACAAAATCCAAAGGGATTCTAATGCCACACTTGAGTTCTGTTAAAAGCAGAGTACTCCGTACCTCTGGAAATCCCGACGTGTTTTTAATCTCCACAGCAAAAGAGCACGTTTGTTACGGAGGTGGCCAAGCCTTACGTGTTCCCTGCAATTAAATCTCTCAAAAGGAGCACTCTGAGCCATGCAGCAGACACCAGTTCCCTCTTTTCAACCCAAAACTGAGCCTTCCACTAATATAAAACCTCACTGGTTTTTACCGGACGTGTTCAAGCTGCAAGTCAACTACACGTTTCCTACGTGTTGCAGACAGAAACAAGTTCTAGCCACAGTTACAACATGGTCCGAGACTGATTTTGGGCTTCTGGGATAACCTGACTTCCATCTGCAGCTCCTGGTCTTCTCACGCTTGCCCGACATCCATAATTTTTCCTGTAATCTGCAGAGCGTCACCAATCGGAGACAGCATTTCAGATGCTTACGCTCTTACAAATTAAATATTGTTTCCATTAGCTAATCTTAAAGGGACTTATAGTCCCATATTCCATATGGGACGTGCCCTGAGGAAAAAGGACTACAAGACATTTTTTTTGGAAAAAAAAAAACCCTAAGTGTACATTTACTGTGTGCAACTCTTGTTTCAGGCTGGCAAACAGTGTTGCATTTTTAAATAACAGCCACTCTAGTTCACCAGGTGAAAAACCTCTCCAATTTCCATGTTCTTCTGCAAGACGGCGACACAAAGCTTCCACCTCTCCGAGCAAAACAACCAGCTCCGGGATGGCGTTTCCCCCACGTTTGGGTTCATAAAAATCCAGACACTGACCTGCTGAGTAGGATGTGCAAGAGAGGCAAAAATTCCCCTTGCCCACCCTGGGGAAAAGGAGCGCCCGCTCTGCCCCAGGATCACATATCCCCCCGTCTACTGGCACCCTGGCAGCAGCCCCCCGCACACGAGGTGCTGATGTCATGCAAAGGTAGTTTCTTAAAAAATAACCAGTGTTGAAAGGTCCCCGAGATGGGCTTTCCTGACAGAACGGGGATTCTGAAAGGTTCAGTTCAAACCGTCTTCCCGTGCTTCCACACAAAATGAATCTCCTGACGCCGCCGATTTATTATTTAGACTTTTGTTTCAAAAGAGGAATTTAACCCTTAACTTCATAGAATCACAGAATGGTTTGGGTTGGAAGGGACCTCAAAGACCATCTCGTTCCAACCCCCCTGCCATGGGCAGGGACACCCTCCACTACACCAGGTTGCCCAAAGCCTCATCCAGCCTGGCCTTGAACACTGCCAGGGATGGGGCAGCCCCAGCATCTCTGGGCAACCTGTGCCAGTGCCTTCCTTCATTCCAATGAAGGAAGATTCACCAGGATTTTCCTAAGGCTCTTTATCAGGTCTGAAGAATGCGTACCAAGGGAGACATCAGCAGCTGGGTCTGCCCTTTGCTATCTTTGTATAACCCCATCTCCCCCCTCGCAGGCTCCCGCTTCGCCCCCGGACAGCCATGTTAATCAGATCTGACTCCCTACAGGGGGTATTTTTTTTGCCTTCTTACAGGGCATTGCTTAGTCTCTGCCAGTACAAGGACAGGGAAAGCGTGGAAGGGGCAGGGTCAGTCTTTTGTTTCGTTTATATCCTAAAGAGCTGGCCCCTAGTTCTCTGCTGGCACCTTCTAAAGGCTACTGTGATAGCAAAGCCTACAGCACCACTTGGAGACAGGAAAGCAGGAGAATTGTGCATACAGCTTTGGCTATTTAGCTTCACGTTGTCCTTTTCCTTCTCCAGGTAAGGAGAAACCCTTTGGATCAAAATTTCAAGACGAGAGCATCTCTGGCGTACCATGAAAAAGGAACAGTCAGAGTACAAACGTTCCAGAGAGGAATTTCTCTCCCAGAGAATTCAGAGGCTGGGTTGAAGCAAAAACGTTTGCTGGTGTTGGAGCCAGGGGAAACACTTTGTTCAAAATGGTTCTGCCAAAACTCGAGTAATTCAGCCGGCCTTGACGCAGTCTCCATTCCCGTGCCTTTGCTCTTGGAACATCTTTAATGGAGTGCTTTAAAAACCCATTTCATATCTCTGCTTTATTGGGTAGAGTCACATTTTATTTCACTTCTGTAACACCACATAGTCTCATTGCTGCCATAACCAAAAACAGCAATCAGACGTAAGTAGTGCTTTGGAAGTATGTGGATGGAATTTCTAGCGACACATCTTGAGCTTTGCTTCGTTTGCAAAGGAGGTATGCAAAGGAGGTACCCAAAAACGCGGCCCCAAAAACGCGGCCCCAAAAACACGGCCCCAAAAACACGGCCCCAAAAACACCCTCATCCTGTACCGCTCATCCAGAAAATCAAAAGTTGTGGCAAGAACGTTTGTCTTGGCCACGCAATTTACCGTGGCACAGAGAAATCACGACAACGGAGGAGATGTTCAGGCTTTCTGGTAAAACACGGATCCAGGGACATCTTTTGAACATCAAGAAATCGCAGCTCCCTCACTACCCTTAGCGCAATGCCAAAGGCTGTACGTACGCCGTACATTTTTATACAGCCAGTGATGGATATGCCCACAAATGTTTGAAAATTTGGGAACTACAGAAGCGCTGGCCACCAACTGTAGCCAGTTAAGCTTCTAAATTACTTTTCTCTACTGACACAGAGGTTGACTCTCTCCCTCCCTGCCTAACTCTTCTCCCCCGACCTAGCGATCTGCGCTCACAAATTCACAAAAGATTTAGGAAACCAGTATCAAACCAGGCAAAGGGAAGATTTTTAGAACGATTTGCCTACTCAGATTTAAAATAAGCCACAAGGCTTTTACGCAGCTGATGGAACCATGCCTCATATCCTGGCAAGTCACAGCTCCTTCATATCCACGTAACAGGAACATCAAAGAAAATATTTAGCTGTCTTTTATTATCTACTCAACATTTATTAAAAAAACCCCAACATTATGGTGTTTTAAAAACCCCACAGAACCTGGATTTACAAGCTCTCAATTACACAAATTCAGAAAGAAACCTTTTATGAGTCAAACTTTACAGTTAAGAGCTGTCAGGTGTGCATGACACTCATTTTTAGATTAAAGTTTTCAGGCTTTTAACTCAGCTGTACAATAGAATATTTATCTTCCTGTGACTGAACCGTAAAAAAGCCTTTTAAAATGGAAACAGCACTTGGAATCTTAAGTTTGCTTCTCCTTTTTTTTTTTCTAGCTGTACTAACAAATGGCTTAATTTATGACTTTAATAACGATGTAGCACAGCAGCTGCAGATATGCCCCATTTCATGGTGCAGTTCAATCCCTTGAACCACCTTGAGAATCCAGGGTTTTCTCCTCTGCTGAGCTAAGCAAAGTTCTCCCAGTAACGAGCTCTGTTACGAGAAGTACCTCCCCAAAAGAGGATTTCAGTTACGACCACATCAATTTAAACGCGGTCGCATGCTCTACCTTACAAGGACACTGACCTACATGGGCTCTGTCTGCTGCGAAGCCACGAATCCAAAACTAAGAGAGGAAAGAGGGACCAACATCTCACCTCAAACAGCTGAAAAATCATTGTGGAGAGGTCAATGGCTCATCTCTGATTTAATTTCTGTCCTCTCCTACTCTGTTGTAATAGCAAAAAGGGGGAAAAAAGGGGAGGGAGGAAATAAAACATCCCCGTCTTCCCTATGTCCCTCCTACAAGGGTGATTTTTTATTTATCCACACAATTTCTCTTGGGGTACTTTGGTAAAATGCTGTCTCAAACCTCACCCCATGTGGTCAGTAATCCGCTTACCGGTATGTCTCCTGTGAAACACACTCGTACAGCTCCTCAGCAGAGAATTTTACACTGCTGTTTAGCTAAAATGAAGAACAAAGAATTAACACAGGAATTTACCAAGTATCACGTACCGATTAAAATCGTACGGCTGGTGTAACAGGTATGGTTAATGTATTAACAGGCTCTCAAGTCGAGACAGTACATAAAAAAGTCATGCTATATATTATAAAATCAAATATGACAAATTAACAATCATGATGGTGTATAATGGGAGCAACAGATATCACTCCAGCTCCCTTTTCCAACAATTTCTGTACAAATCTAAAAAGACCATACATATTCTTTCTCCCCTCTTAGAATCATGGAATGGTTTGGGTTGGAAGGGACCTCAAAGACCATCTAGTTCCAACCCCCCTGCCATGGGCAGGGACACCTTCCAGTAGATCAGGTTGCCCAAAGCCTCATCCAGCCTGGCCTTGAACACTTCCAGGGATGGGGCGGCCACAGCTTCTCTGGGCAACCTGTGCCAGTGCCTCACCACCCTCAGAGGGAAGAATTTCTTCCTTAGATCTAAGGAAGAAATTCCTTATATCTCCTTGTATCTCTTAATTCCTTATATCTTCCTTATATCTCTTACTTTACCCTATAGCTCTATAGCAAACGAGGTAAGTTCTGACTCACAGTAGTTCCCTAACTACAGTCACCCTATATAGGGTACAGGCCCAAACCCCAAATATATTTTCCTGTATAGGAGAGGACTGCAAATCTGAAATATGAAATACTGCAAACATTCATTTCAATTTCTCAAAATCTTTCATCACTAATTCGTTAAAACTTCACAAATAACTGGTAATTTCAATTTATCTTTTTTTTTTTTTTCCCCCTGAACTGCAGCCAAGATTCTCCATAGAATCACCTAATGCAATGTACTCGCTGGTAAAATATATTTTTGTGCCCAACACCTAATAAATAAGAGCAATCATCAAAATTCTAGCGTAGTGAAAACGCAATATGAGATACCTCATGACTACTCTAAATAAAAAAACTGTAATAGAATTGTATCTGATAAAAAACATTGAAGAAAACTTCATACCTCGTTGCTTATCAGGAAGTTATAGAGGGTCCAAATATCTTGGAAACTACTGGTTGGGGTCAAAATTCTGAAAAAGAAAAGGGTTGGGATTTTTTTAAAGCAAATATAAAAGGTTTCTATGGAAGAGTTGAACAAAAATAGTCGGAAGCGCTTCATGGAAAAAAAGATATAATTACTTTCTTTGAACAAAAAGAAAATTATGATCTTTGAATAATCTTCCCTTCCACTCCTCTAAAAGAATAAAATGAGCGGATTATTTCTGTCAGGACTTTCTGCGAAGGTTTTTCCTAATTAAAATTGCAACTTTAAAAAAAAAAATTTTTAATTTCCTAATTAAAAATGCAACCGATGTGTTTATGAGCAATTCCTAATTGCTAATTACTAATTCCTCCATCCAGAGGGGAAGAAAACCAGCAATAATTCAAAGCCTTTTGTTTGACACCAGCAAAGTGACAGGCAGCAGGAAGCTTTCCCACAGCTTTAACCCATTCCCTCCAGCATTCCACCGCACGGCTCAAACGCTACGATGTTCACCCTATTTTTGCTCTTTCTAATAATAACCAATTTCCACCAATTTTCCTGAGAAAACAGGATTTGACAGCTGGAGAGGGGTGTTTTTGTGAAGAACCGTGCATCACGTGAAATATTGGTGGTTTATTTAGCCACGAGGCAACGTTTCAGTCCATCCCAAAATCCAGCCCTTGCTCTCCACCTTACAAGCAGAAGAAACCATCAGCTTTGGTGTCTCGAGGTCATCGTAAAGTTCCAAGAGATGTATGCCCTTTTTCCATGAGGCTCCAAAAATGAGCCAATAAGGGAAAAAATTCATTCTCCTAATCTATTTAAGCAGATAGAATTCAGTTATACCTCCGTGTAACTTAATTTGCATTCACTAGGGAAAAACAGAACCCTCTTAAACACTACAAAACACACATTAAAAAACATGTAAAACTCTATTTATATTAAGAAATACTGATAAAAATCTGCCTTATGTGAAGTTTTAAGTATGTAAATGATTAAGAAAATAACTGGATTTGGAAAAAAAAAAAAACTGGAAAAAAAAAAATCTTCTTCTGGGGAAGCTCTATTTACTTTCCCATGGGAAAGTGCCCAAATTCTCCCCTCCCTCCCCTTGCAAGCCGTAAGGCTTTCTAAATGAATTAATTAGGAACTGAAAAAGACCAGAAAACTAACAGAATAAGTTAAAAATCTCGGCTAAAAAAGACAATGTGTCTTAAACAGGCTAGAAGGCCATGACACACCACAGGATTTATCGTAACTACTGAGTCCGCTGCTTATTTTCATCCTGATTTTCCATAGGAACGATCGCTGTTGCCAAAATAACCCCACATTCTTTCCCTCTTTGTAGGAAGATATAACCAGAATTTCCTTCTTGGACTAAAACACTAAACCCACCGACTAAAAATCAGCAAGAGAACCAATTGACTAGTTTTCCTAAAAATACCTCGGAGCCTTCAACTGCTACCTCAGCGAGAAGGCGATGGGCTTTGACAGCGTAAAGCCCTGGCAGAGCCGATTTGGCAAACCTCCTTGGCAACGCCGGGAATCTTGGCAGCTCGGAGCGCGTCGCCGCTCGGATTCCCACCGACCGGCTCCGTGTAGCTTGGATCCAGCAGCGTGTCCGCAAGGGACAATACGGCAGCTTCAGCGGTCGCATCAGTCGCCCGTGACATCAATAAATGCTCGAGCCTGGGAAAGTGTCATTCCCATTCCTGATGGTTTTGGAACCATTCTGCCTTCTCCTTGACGCGGAAAAAGAGGAGAGCGTGCACGTTTGTCTTCATAAAACTGAAAGCAAAACCGTACCAGACATAAAAGGTGTAAGATGTTCCTAACAGCTTCACCTGAAGGATGCTACGTTTTGCCACACAATATGTTGGGGTAAAACAGGTTTGTGACTCTATTTTCTTCCTGCTCTTCCAAGGACACCTAGGGAAGGGTGTAGGATAGGTAAGACTGCTGCCACAGCTGAGCTCACCACACCAGCCAGGTGAGCTTTCCACAGGAAAGACGGAGGGTAGGGGAAAAGGCAGCTGGTGAAGAAAGACCTGTATTAATCATAGAATCATAGAACGGTTAGGGCTGGAAGGGACCTTCAAAGGTCATCTAGTCCAACCCCCCTGCAAGGAACAGGGATATCTCCAACTAGATCAGGTTGCTCAGGGCCTCATCCAACCTGGCCTTGAACGTCTCCAGGGATGGAGCATCCACCACCTCTCTGGGCAACCTGCTCCAGTGTTCTACAACTCTCATGGTAAAAAATTTTTTCCTAATATCCAATGTGAATCTACCTCCCTCTATTTTAAAACCATTACCCCTTGTCCTATCACAACAGGCCCTCCTGAACAGCCTCTCCCCATCTTTCCTGTAGGCCCCCTTGAGGTACTGGAAGACCGCTATAAGGTCACCTCGGAGCCTCCTCTTCTCCAGGCTGAACAGCCCCAACTCTTTCAGCCTGTCCTCATAGGAAAGGTGCTCCAGCCCTCTGATCATCTTCGTGGCCCTCCTCTGGACCCTCTCCAACTGGTCCATGTCCTTCTTATGTTGGGGGCTCCAGAATTAATTACAGGTTTCTGCTTTTTGTGGAGGAAAAACGTACATCCGAGCGACAAAAAGGTGAAGGAAGAGACTGAGAGCAGAAAGTCAGGCAGGATTGAGCCGTGGTACCAAACGGCATCTCCGCCTGACTGTTGCTTCTAACTCCCCAGGGCAGAGAAGCGCTGGAAGCTTTGTGTTTCACCCCATCGTCCTCAGCAAGACTACATTTAAAGAAAACCAGTCTGAAAATCATTTTCAAAGTAATATTAGAGCGGAATCCCAAGTTCAGACCTCCGGTTTTGTCTGGAACTGTAACTGTACTGTGCATCACAGACACCCAAGGGAGCACTTTTCAACTATGTCTACAGAAAATACACATTCATGAAAACTTCTGAATCTTGACACCAATTAGGATGCTGCAGACTTAAAAATTATCTCGTTGACGCTTCCCAAACCACACAGTCTACGCCCTCGACAAGGTAACCCTCACCACTAATTGTATTCATTTCTTTTGAGGACATAATACTGGAAAACCTTTCTGTCCTGTGGACTAGAGCGTACCAGCAAGCTGCTAACATTACTGGGTCAGCTCAGTAAGTTACCAGACCCCAGGTGGACGTATAAACGGGCTGTGCTTCTGGTTCTTGGGGAAAAAACCCACAATAAAACGTGTAAATGAACATATAACTTCATGTTAAATCCCGTGACTCGTTTTACGGAGTTTGCTTGGACTATCACGGCAATTGTGTCTGAGTTTGTAACAGGAAATGAGAATTGGACGTTGGGCTCCGAGCTTTAGAATATCTTCAAATAAAGGACATTTGTTATTTTCAAGGAAGAAGCGTCGCTGCACACGGAGGACTGAGAAGAGGTTGGCGAGAAAAGAGCTCGCGCAGTAACTTCCCCCACAAATTCTTAACAGGTCAGCATTCAGAAAACACGGCTAGTGCTGTTTTCAGCTAACCAGGAACTGGAATACAAGCTCCAGTCTTGGAATGTATTTTTCTGGAGAAAATTCTAACACATTCCTGTCTGCAGAGCAACGATTTCACACCACCGCCAGTCTCCACTGGTTTTAACCACTTTATGCCCCATCCCTGGCAGTGTTCAAGGCCAGGTTGGGTGAGGCTTTGGGCAACCTGGTGTAGTGGAAGGTGTCCCTGCCCATGGCAGGGGGGTTGGAACTAGATGGTCTTTAAGGTCCCTTCCAACCCAAACCATTCCGTGATTCTATGATAATCAAGAACGGAAGAGGATAGGAAATAGCTCACGACGTGGTTCCTCTCTTGCGGATAGAGAAGACCTGGGAAACAAGCAAAGCCTATTTGGAAAGGATCAGAAAATTAACTTATCAAATAGAAGGAAAAAAAAAAAAAACAAACAGCTGCTCCCAAACACTAAAATCCTACGTAATCACTCTCAAATCTGGCCAGACCTCTGTACCTCAGTGATTGTCACGCTGAGCCATCCCTCTTCAGCAGTTCTCCGTGATCGCCCGTGGCGCAAGACCGATAAGACTGTCATGAAGCATTAGCCAATTCAATAAATCCCTGTGGTTAATCAAAAAGGCGTTTGACTTAATTGCAAAATATGTCAACTTCACCCACTAAAAGCCCCGTTTAACCTCGTTGTCAGAAGATCAGGGAAGCAAAAGAGATGAGAAACGGAGTAGCAAAACTTCAGTGTGGCTTATTAACAACTCCTCGTTACACTGCCCTGCAACAAGGGACTCAAACTGGTGTTACCAGAACAAAACCCTTGGCGTGTGTTGATCCAACATTAACCTGTTGGGAAATTAAGGGGATATTTTCCAAAATAGTCAAGCTTATGCTTTCTTCTACTGTGGAAGCACTTCAGATGCCAGATCCTAGAGCCACTTTGCCTAGATGCCTGTTCTCTTGGCTTTACAAGGTCAGAAAGGACCGTGGCTTTTACAACACTAACTCATTTATTCAAAATTTCCTGCTTTTGAGACTGGTTTAAAGGCAACAACTTAAGCAGCTGCCACAGCACCACCTCTGCCCTGCACCTTGTTAAGCACTGGCCAGTTTCAGCCATATTTGACACAGGCAGAGGTCTCGAAACTTTGAAATTTCTTACAGCTCTCATTAAAATAGGCAGAAGGGTAAAGGACACGTTCGGACCCCGCCAGCAGAGAAGGCTGCAGGTAAGTTCAAAGGTAATAGAAGATGGCAAAGAATTCACAAGGAAAGGAAATGCTAGAACTAGAAGACCTTTTGTCAGACACTGCCCATGTCCCCTGCTGCTTAACTGCAGTATTTCCATTTCTCATCCATAAATCCTGTTCACCTTGGAAAACCACACAAAGCCCAGCGCTCAGAGGCTGAATTTTACATTTAAAGTAGTTTAACTGTTCTCCTTTAGTGGGTCAAGAATATTTCAGGTTTCATCTAAATAAATAAAAAAATAAAAATCAAACAACTAGTGGTAGAAAACTCTGATACTTCTTGAACTGGGAGTTAATTCCCATTTTATTTCCAGAAGGAGACTGCATGCGGACGAAGATTAAAAGTAGAGCTCTTAATCTGGAGACTTTAGGATAGAAATTACTAAATGCCATGGCAGTCTAAGGGAAGGAAGACAATCTTCTAACTAGACACCAAGAAAAAGAAATCTCAATTCCTCCACCGACCAGCTGAATAAAGAAAGAGGAAACAGTTTCTCTACAGCTGTAGAATTCTGTTTCTAAATTAGTAAAACTGTAGAACTGGTTTTAAATTATTTAATCCCAAAATATACAATTCAGTGATCAGTTCAGATACACTAACGTTTTCCTGCACTACTGAGATCTTAAAAAATTACATGTTTAATTTACAAATGTTTATGGAGCCCTTGTCTAAATCAGCGCCTTCCAAACAAACAAAACCATTGAGAATTTGAGAAAAATTCCATTTAGATAAAATATTAGAAAGCAGAACTCAGGTTCCTTACTGCAGTAAGTAACAGATAAATATTTTTAGAGCTGACACTCTATTAGTATAAATATTTATAAGTATTGTATCTAGGAGCATATGCTGTGAATTGTGAGTGATTTTAAAGTTGGTGTGTGAACAAAACTGTTATTTCTCAGCGAACAGATGAAAAAAATCCAACTAGAAATAACTGTATCAATTCACTAAAGACTAAACGTTCTTTGTCTTTTCTGTTAAGGAGGACTTCTTATCTAAAAGTAACTTTAGGAAGGCAAGGAAACATGAAGATGTGTAAAATTCCCAAAGAGTGCATACAGACCCTTGAATGTAATATATGAGTCTCCAAAGATGAAGGGCTCAAACATCTTCCTGCAGAAGCAGTGGAAGAATTTCTACAAGCAACAAAAGATTTGGCACAAACTTGAAAACTCTGAGTTGTAGAAATACTTCTGTTGCCTCAAAGAGCTGCTTGAAAAATCAAGAAGTTATTTTGAAGATTTTTAAAGATAATGATTTTAATTTACCTTAAAGCTTTAATTTAAGAGGCCTTAAATTAGGTGCCCTAATTAACTGGTTCCAAATAACACCCAACCCAAATAATACACAACGTAAATACAAGTACAAACCACCACTGAAAGCAGTCAGAAATATTACTCAGCCCAAAATTATTTAAAAACATGTCATGATTTTACAATTTTACTTGAAGTACAAATTTCAGAGGTTTAATAATCTATGTTCATTGCTAATCAATGTAATATAGATCAACATAGGTAATACCCTCTTGCTGTCAAAAGTGGAAAATAGGGATATTTTTTTAATATCTATATTTGTCACAAACATGTTCTGGTCATCAAGTCTGAATGCTGTAGTAATGCCACTAGTGTAGTATTTTTTTCCTATGAGGAAGGGTATCATTACACACATTTATCTCAAGAAGTGTGATTGTGTTTTTAACAACCTGAAAATCTGAACTTTCAATATAAGTTATTTGTAAAACTCCCAAACTTCCATAAGACAGTTTCTTTCTTCATTCTGGACAGCAAGGAATAGAAGGTAACACAGACAACGCTTGTATTTTATCACTAAAAGCTGTATTACCTCCAAATATTCCAGCTAGAACTTTTTCACTGCTTTTTCTCCAGATGCCTCCTTTTCTGCAATCACACTGTTAGATTAACCACAAGTCACCGAAAGGATTTTTTTCCAAAATCAGGAAAAATAAATATACTCTTAAGTTCACTTTCAGAAAGGTTGAGTGACCCAAGCAAAATGAGCCTCCCTCTCACTTTTGAAAACTTCAGACTTTTTATTTTAATACCCTGTAACATACAGAAACCTACAATGATTCATAAATATGGCTTCTGACTCTTTAGAAAACCTACTCAGAATTCTCAAACTCACTTAAATATCTACACTCAAGGCTAAACCAGGAGAGTACATGTCAGGGTCTCTCCGAATTTCTTGCCCCATGATGCCCCCTTCTGCAAATCTGCTGAAAAAAACTCAAGAGAGGCATTTCCAAACGTGAGTCTGCAAGGAAATTACTCCACTCTGAGAACCAGCCTGGATGCATAAATACTGTGTTTTGGTTTAGGGGTAGAAAAGAAAATTTTAAAAAGTCTGAAAGGAATTTTTAAAGCCATTTCACTTCATTATGGAGTGTCATGGTAATCAAGTGAAACAGAAAATAGCTTCTCCATTTGAAATAAAGTCAAAGGACAGGATCCTGTTTATCTTTGCTCCAGAGACACTAGTGGCTCTAATCAAGACACTATATCTTTTGTAAAACAGATTTCTCTGATATAATCTTAGACCTTTTTACTTTCAGAGAGCTCTCCCATAAGGGGAAATACTGGAGGTAAGCAGCTTTCACTAAAAGAAATACAAAATGTCTCTTATGGCCACAGAAAGTTCTAATGAAACACCTCTGTAGCACAGAAGTAACGATTTTGAAACACCTTATTCCCATTAAATCTCACCCACCACATATATAAACCAATACCACAAGATTTCTTGGAAAAACTTTAGGACTGGAATGAAAAGAACCAAGTTTAGCAGTAACCTGCTTTATATTAACGAAATTTTAGAGAAAGAACTGACATTGCCCCTACTGAACACTAATCTCAACTGGGAATACTAAACCAAACAATCAGCAACGAAAATGAATCAATTACCACATTTCTCCTCATGTTTTTCTGCTTCTACTTTTGTAATCTTTAGACCATTTTTCTTTGAAAGACAGATGACAATTCTTTGGGTGGATTTGTCCCACGACTAGTGTGCTGTACAGAAAATAATCAGATCTGTAACTTCGGCTGTAATACTGTTGATGCAGGGATGGTCCGTTACGCTCACGTGAGTACTTCACAGGAGCGTACCTTGGAGCTTGTTTGGGACTTATGGGATATATATTTTACTGAAACACTTTAATTAAAGAAATATTCTTTCGATCATAATGAAAAAAAGCCAGAAAAACTTATTTGGGAGTGCTGACATGTGAAGCAAATGTTTGCATGTTTCTATCACAATTTTTATTGAAAAAAATCAAAATACTCCCGGCAGTTACGGATGAAAACTAGTTCAAGTCCCAGGTGACAAAGCTCTGGATCCCTGCTCCAGACTTTTGAAGTGTCTGGACAGGGCAGACCTCACACTGGTTATCCTCAACTGGGATAACCATAAGTCCACACTGGGCAGGACTGTTGTGATGACTACAGCATAAGGACTGTGATCCTTCAGGAAACCAACACCGCTAAGTACTGATTAAGTAGGTTTAAAAGCTCACTACTATGGTGGAATGATAGAAAAAACACTTCTTGAAATAAATTATTAGCTTATTAGCTGATCTCTAAGCATGCTGTAACAGCCTACAGTAGAAATGTAACATAGCTCAACATTTACTTAATATTGCTAATGCACAGGGCAAGCCCAACCGTTTGGATGCCTCTATTTCACAGTTTTCTAACCTATTTTCGTAGTTCCTATGCAAAAAACAAGCGTGCCCAAATTAAATAGCTCCAGCCACTCGGATTGGTGGCCTGTTAACCCTTTAGGATGCTCACAGAAGTTACTGGAACTTTAACCACAGGCAGTGGGAAACTGAGGAACTCCACGATCCTAAGAGTGACAACGTAAAGCTTCCTCCTGCAGCTGTTCCTGCTGGTGAATAAACTTCACTGCTGTTAAAAAACCAAACAGACTAACCTTATGTTTTCTGAAGCTTCATTTTTATTATTCTGCACTCCTTAAAAACAGGGAGAAGGAAGACAGAGGGAGCATTATCCTTCCTAAACTGAGAGTGCAGCTGATTGATTGTCATTGCTACTGCTGCAATACAGGTTTTGACTCATGAAGAATACTCTAGAATTGTTAACAGTGAAATCCCAAAACTTTATGTCCTTTACTGTACTGGAAATTTGTCACAGTTCCAGTAAATCTGGCATTTGAAAAATAAGTGTTCTGAATTATTCATAGAATCATAGAATGGTTAGGGCTGGAAGGGACCTTCAAAGGTCATCTAGTCCAACCCCCCTGCAAGGAACAGGGATATCTCCAACTAGATCAGGTTGCTCAGGGCCTCGTCCAACCTGGCATTCAAAGTTCTTGCCATGAGAGCTAATAAATTAGTTGATCGTGTCATAGCTCCAGTTACACTCCGAACAGAAGCGAGTGGCTCGTCACCAAACACCAGAAAACAAGTCCCAAGTCATAAAAGAGAAAACTCACTACAAGAGATGTGAACGTCTGCGACAGTTTCTTATTCTTTTGCTACCAAGAAATGGTTCTAGGCAGGCTTAATATCAAGACTTTTACTGAAAAACACATAACTAAGCACACAAAATAAATTGTGGTTTGGCATCAAAGTATTTCAGTGATCTTTACGACTTTCAGTGCCTGTTACTGTCCCTAGCTCACATGCTTACCTACTAATTCCTTCACGGATATCATTCACAGCTGCCAACAGCTTCTGCAAACCTAAAAAAGCTTCTTCAAATGAAGACTTTGCAGTCACAGTTCCGGCGTTAAGGTCCAACTTTTGGAAAATTTCGTTGCTAACATTAGAAAGAAAGAAGAGACGTTGAAAAGCAGTTCATAAAAATCCTCAAAATTCAGAGAACCCCAGTATCTACTGTAAGCAGTATATGTGGACTATAAAAAAAAAGATCAGAAGTAAATCTATACTAAAATATGTTGTCTAAACCAGTTTTAGAATAAATAGTGGAAAGACTATACCCTACAATTGTAGGCATAACTCCCAGTCCCTCCCCTTGAAAAGATTTCAGATTAAGACTACAAAAAGAAAACACAGCGACCATTCAGACTTTGTTAAAGCATCTTGGTGATTTTCAAGCAGGTTTTTCAAAAATAACCAAAATAAAAAGCTAGATGGAAGGGGGTTTAATTTCATGCAATTTTAAGTCTATATGAGAAAGGAAATTCATCACTAGATTCTGCATTTGGATTTTATAAAATGAAGGATTTTGCTTAGCAAGAAAACTTAACTATATTTCAAATGTATTAAAGTTGGAAACAAAAAGCAAACAATTTTGCATAGGCTACTATACCTTCACAGGTTTTGGAAAGAAAATAATCACAAGAAAACTTAGAGCTTGAATGCCTTTTTTTTTATGACTAAAGATAAGATTTCCATGCATGTCTCACATTTGTGGCTCTTACAGGGTTTTCAACACCATTCTGTAAGGCAACTTGTTTCAGCCACAGTACAGAAAAAGAGCATCAGACAGGTCACTGACTGCATCCGCATAACAATTTGCACGCTCCTAACTTTTGTGCGACAAGTTGTGTGATTTTTTTGGTCAAGTTTGATTAATTACTAACAGCTTCTTCTCTAAAACAGGAAAAAAAGCAGCAATTTCTAAAGTGTGTGTGTTTGAGAATTATGCAAGGTTACGTACAAGTTCTGAGTTTCTCCAGCACACCGTACCTGTACAAGTTTATTGTATTCCATACACCTTCAAGCACTGACCAGATTTCCTGGTGCCTGTTTTCTTGAGCCACATGAAAGCTTGGATGTAACTTTTTTTCTCCACAGCTTTGAAGATTTGGTGTCGTTGCTTCCATTTTTTCACACACAGCGTTTTCTGAAAGAACCATGACGTCTTCTGAGAACTCCTGCTGACTTTCTGACCTCACCTTATAAAACAGTTCAGTAGACAAATGATGAGTGTATTTGGTTCCTAACTTAAGAAAACGTCAACACTTCTATTTTTTTGTTTTAAAGCAATGCTCAAAAAAGCAAGGCAGATCTCTTCCAGTCATAACCATCTTTATTACAGTCTCTAAAGCATCTCTCAGTCTTTATGTATACCTTGCTATTTCTACAGATAGAAGACTAAAGCAGGCACAGTAAACTGGTATAAACGAGAATTGCTTCTTATTCTTGCTCCCTATCCCACCTGCTGGCACATTTTCCTCTGCAACAGCAGCACCAATCTTCTCATTTGGTAAAGCAGTCCAGAAAATTTGTCCAGGTTAAACTGAAGCTGATCTGGTACAACCTGCTCTGTATAAGGGCAGTTCTTTGGGTTGTCCAACACCTGTCAGAACAAGTTTTCAGGCAGAAAGGCTGCTGCTTCTGGCAGCTCCAAACTGCAGACGAAGCTCCTGACTGCAACGCACACAGAAGTTACAGCACAGCAGACAATCAAGACTCCCCAAATCATCCTTCCTCTCCTTGACCACCTTCTTCTTCCTTTCCCCTTCAGCATTCTCCAAAACT